CCAAAGCCAGTGTTTACGTTAGCATGGCTAATAATAGCAGAAGCTCCGTTGTACAACCATATATATGAGACCCTGCTGAGTCAGACCCAGAGGCAGAGTCGGTCGCAGCTTCTTCTTTTTTCTCTCCCTCCTCTGCTCTGCGCTCACTCTGCAAGCTGTTACCAGAGCAGGGAGCAGCAGCAGTGAAAATACCTCAGAAACTCGAACAAATAGGCTTTAACAAGGCTTTAACAATCCAAACAATAGAGGTACATGAGAAAACGTGTTCATAACGAATGAAAATAAATAATTAAATTGTGTCCGTGCCGGACTCAAACCCTGGTCTCCCACTCTCTGGTCCAACACTCTACCCATTGCCCTAKTGGAGGCTTGTTGTGAAATGAGCYGCGCATTGCAAAACAACAAGGTGACGGTTTTTTATACTGAGGAGGAGGAGCCTCACTCGGGGGTTGCTAGGTAAGGGGCTGAACGCAGGTTCCGGTGGGTTGTCATATGGCTTGTGACATCACAAAATGACGTAAGTATAAAACTTGTCGTTAATATACATTTAAAACACCTTTACTTGCAGAAAATCTGCCCCTAGGTGCATTTTTTTTGGTCCTAGGACTGTTTTTTTAAGAAGTACATACCCAAAGTTGAGTAAAAAAAATACTTTAAAAAGTGAATTTTGCATAATAGGTCCCCTTTAAACATAAGCATGTATGCAAAATTCAAACGTGGTTATTTCAGAGTGGGCGAACTCTCCAAGCGCACATTTGTGTAAACATATGGAGACAAACACACGGGTCAATAAGGTTCTGTAGTACTCCGTACTAATGGACTCGACATGACAACATGACCTTTAGCTTTTAACCCTCCACCCCCCATCCTGCCATCTGACCCACTCCAACTGCTGAAGGAAACCAAAGGCAAAGTTCACTTAACTAAAAAGACAAAAAATACTGAAAAAAGTGACAAAGAATCAGACAGCGTGAGTCAAAACTGAACACTTAAAAAAATACTGTATATTGTAAGAAGACGGAGGAATATAAATGAGACCCAACAGAAACATGACAAACTGCTCGTACAGTGAACATATGTTAAGCTTTGGTGGCTTGATAATTAATTAGCCTGGCTTGGTTGTAAATGCTTTCATTTGAGCTTAATTAGTAAGGAGATGACAGGTGACATTAATTATCCTAACCTCATTGTCATTGYAGTCACTCATACATTAATTTAGGAGTTACTGGTACCTAATTGTACGTCCTGTTAAATAAATGCATCTACAAATAGTCGCTCTCTATTTTCTGTGCAGAGAGCAACTTGTTACAAAGGCCAACAGTGTGTGTTAAAACAAACAAATCTGGACAAAGAAATACGTTTTATTATAGTTTTAAAAAGATTTAAGCTTGGTTGCAAAAGCTTTTACTGATTACACTCAGTGGCCTCTGTTAAATATTTTATTTTAAGTTCATTTCTTTTTCTTTCAAACTTAATTACATTAGTTCATAATTGCTGTTGTTTTCAATGGTTGTTTTAATTTCAAAGATGGACAGCACCTTTAGGAATATATTCAACAATAACAATATATTTCAATATAACTTTTTGCAAATATTGATTACATTCAAATGTACCACTGAGTACACATTTTTTATTAAAAATAACGATTGAAAGACCTGGTGCTTTCAGAAAAATGTACTTATTAAATGACAAAAGATTTATTAGAACTAGGCAGAGGGCAAGTACAGGGGAAAAATTAATTCATTAGTCTGTCAACATTAAGCAGACAAATCAATACTTGCGAGCCCTGTTGGTCCACCAAAAAAACTGCATGATATAAAAGCTGGACTTTCATTTGAACTTTTTAATGGATAATCCTATCTTAAGTAACTATTGTATGTCTGTAATAAATGTGCTGCAAACACTGATTTGTCTTGATCCAATCTAATAATTGGCAGAAGTAGATAAAAAGTAAAAACTATTAGTGATATTACTAATTACTGAATGACCAATTTGGCTAAGTGTTCCCTGAAAATGCCCCCAGAGTGAGTATGATAAATTAGCAGCAAAGCATGCTCTGCATTTTGCCTGAGTGTTTATGTGCATTTTTTTTTCTAAATGAATGTGATATATTGAAGGTATGTTATCTTGAAATATTCCCATGGGGATACGATTTATGAAAGGGAATGTGGTCTAACACCATGTCAAAACGCCAGATGGCTCACATGGAAAGAAGAAACACAATTAAAGTAAAACTTATATTATTTTGTGCTAAATACATTTTGGATGCAGTGTTGAGGAGGACCTTCATATAATATACACATGTGGACAAAATTGTTGGTACCCCTTGTTTAATGAAAGAAAAACCCACAATGGTTACAGAAATAACTTGAATCTGACAAAAGTTATGATAAATAAAAATTCTATGAAAATGAACAAATGAAAATCAGACATTGCTTTTCAGCCATGCTTCAAACATTTTTTTTTAAATAAAACTCATGAAACAGACCTGGACAGAAATGATGGTACCCCTGAAAATAATGTGAACAAAGGTCATGTTAAATCAAGGTGTGTCCACTAATTATCATCACAGGTGTCTACAATCTTGTAATAAGTCAGTGGGCCTGTATATAGGGCTACAGATGCTCACTGTGCTTTTTGGTGACATGGTGTGGACCACACTCAACATAGACCAGAGGAAGAGAAGGAAAGAGTTGTCTCAGGAGATTAAAAAGATAATTATAGACTAGCATATTAAAGGTAAAGGTTATAAGACCATCTCCAAGCAGCTTGATGTTCCTGTGACTACAGTTGCACATATTCAGAAATTTAAGATCCATGGGACTGTAGCCAACCTCCCTGGACGTGGCTGCAAGAGGAAAATAGATGGCAAATCAAAGCACCATCTAATACAAATTGTAACAAAAGAGCCCAGAAAAGCTTTTAAAGAGATTAAAGGTGAACTTCAAGCTCAAGGAACATCAGKGTCMGATCACACCATCCATCGTTTGAGCCAAAATGGACTCATAGGCGACCAAGGAGGGCACCAAATCATAAAAAAGCCAGACTGGAATTTGCCAAACTCCATGTTTGACAACTTTTCTGGGAGAATGTCTTCTGGACAGATGAAACAAAAATGGAACTTTTTGGCAAAAGAACATCATCTCTATGTTCACAGAGGGAAAAATGAAGCATATGAAGGAAAAACACTGTCCTACTGTGAAACATGGAGGTTCTGTTATGTTCT